TATACTGATAGGCTCTGTATGTAAAAATACATTTTAACTAATACAGTATTATACCTCGATGGTCAATAATATATCAGAATCTTATAAAGGCATTGGTAAAAAATTGAGATTTGTCTACATATAAAACTATAATTGCAGTTCTTGATATGTAAAAAATTCATTTTAACCAATATATTACCTTACTAGTCAATAACATATCAAAATCTTACGTAAATGTTTTTAAAAATCCGAATTTTGGCAATTTTTTTTGTTAAAAAACTTATTTTTGGTACAAAAATATAGTGTTTTGTTGAGATTTAAACTATATCCTGTATGTTATATATTATACCTCACTGATTAGTGTCAGAATATGACAGACGGTTTAAAAAAATGTTTCAATCAATAAAAAATTTCACCTGGGCTAAATACAGTTTTGAGGTTTGGGCTTCATTTTTCTATAGTAGTTAGACGCTCTCATAAAGCCATAGATAATAATCGCCCGATTTTGAACCTCACTGGGCTCACCCACAATCTATCAAGGCCTATAAGGATGATCAGTTTCGATAGGGGTGGGGATGCGTTTTGCTAGCAACATGGTCTTTAGTTTGCATGCTATGGCCCCAGATGGATAAAGGGCAGTGCCTTTGGTGTAGTTTGGGGGCAAAGCTTTGGGCCTATAGTGGATTTCTGTTATAGCAATTATGCTATTTAAATTTGCATTAATTTTGGGGTTCTTGGGGACCTGAAGAAGTAACGCTTCATGTCCTGACACCAGTACACCTAGAAGTAACATTGTTAATATGGATAAATCCGCAAAATAACAAATTCATACCACAGTCATTAAATATTACCAGTTAGAAGAGATGGCAAATGAAATGCACACTACAGCATTTGTTGGCAATAATTAGGAAATATAGTAAAAATGGGTTTTAAAAAGTGAATCTTCAAAATGTGTGGGTCCAGCATTGGGGGTTTGTTCACAAAAGGTACAACAATAGAGTTTTGAGAGCTAAACAGTAATTTAATTTTACAGAGCGCGATACACCACATTTATTGGAAAAGGAAGAGTAATTGGCAGGCCTGAAAATTCTATTCCCCACCACCCCCAGCAGCAAGAGAGCCATTTCTTTCCATAAGCGAACATCCATATAAGCAATTCGACTCCTGACATTTTAGCGACTCACTAATAGCGACTCACTATTCTTTAGTATGACAGGACCAGTATCACTAATTAAGGTCCACCGAGAGGTGTTCTCTCAGAATAACAATGACCTACAGTACCACCACAAAATATTGCAATTTTACCTGCGCGCAGGCTTCGTAAGATACATCGTAGCCTGATATAAACAATCTAAGCAAGACTACGCGAAGCGAACCTACGAAGCAAAAGCATGTTGTTTATTTGTATGTGCAGAAAGACTGCTGTAGCTTTACTGAAATAAACAATGTATTGCTTGATAATTTGTGAATGACAAGCACGAGTTTAGACCGTTAATTTAAAGTATGGAGCTGTTTTTCAATAAGAAAAACGTACACTTGACTTCATGGGAGTCTCCTCTTCCACTCGCTGTCCACGACAGGAACTTTTTTGTACTGCTGTATTACTTTTTTAATTAATTAGCCTAGGCCTAGGTCTAGCTTATTTTTTATTTACAATTATTTTACCTCTTTTTAAATGTCCTCAATGACAATACGCACATGCGAAAAGATTGTTCATCAAATAATATTTTGTAGTCTTGATTTAGTAAGATAAATAATAAATATAAAGGAGAATTGACGTCCGTTGGTTGTAAAATTAGCGAATGTCACATGAAAAACCAAATGGAAAATAAAACTTAGCCAGCATCGGAGTGCGCGCCAATCAGAACACAGTAAATGTGTTAAAGGTTAACCTCGTGGCAAATGTTGAAAAGCTGCGAGCGACAGCGAGTAAAAAACAAAGTAAATGCGCTCTAGCATGACTAGCCTTAATTCGGCAAGTTAGTGATTGCTATACTTCTATTTGTATTGGATCGCTTTGCAGGTTCTGCTTCAAATTACAGTAAACAATGAACAACGTGATCTGTAGAAATCTGTCGTCAGTATTATTATTTAAAAGAAAATTCCTACTACCAGAACAATAATATCAGATAAAAATTCTCCGAACTGGAAAGTTTACCAGTATAATTACTGTCTGCTCTCCTCCTCTATATAGGGGAAAATGTAGGCCGTACGTACATACTGAATGCCTAGTTAGCACCCTAAACACAGTTTTAAAACATGATCGATCTAATAATAAGGTAGGAAATAACAAAACAATAAAGTTCTAACATTGTTTATTAGTAAATTGCAACATTGCTCACGTGTTGAAAGCTGGTAAACTATATTTAAATATTGTTTACGCATTGTTTATCAGCCCAACGAACCAGCCTACGATCATTACAAAGCTAATTAAAATAACAATGACCTTCGTAGTGGTTTGTAGCTACGTTCAAAACGTACCTACGAGCAGATTAGGTTACGCGATAATTTGTGTCTGTACTGTAGCGCATCCACCCATGTGTTGACCAATCAGTTGATTATAATTATTGTGCCACTGAAGGTATTTATAGTGATATTATTTTTCAGTTCCTCGAAATACTAAGTATATATAAAATCAACATAATACATCGGGGATATTTCACCCCTCCCCAACGTCGGACCCCGGCAAGTGAGCCGGTTGAATCAGCGCCGATACTACAGCTAAAGGTTACGGTGCCCCTGACTTAACCAACCAACCAATCAACTCGCCTCTTATTGTTTTCATTCTTATTTCCTTATATGTGACAAAAGAATGACAATATACATATATATATTATATACATATATATATTATATACATATATAT